CCCCAAAACCCCAAAACCCCAAAACCCCAAAACCCCATAAAAGAATTCTTTTATAATATTTTAACTTTTCAAATGAAGAAGGTATGAACTGTTAATAGGGTCTTATAAAATTCAACTTACTTATTATTAAACATCAAGCCACCAATTTCTTCAATGCTCATCTTTAAATTACAAATTTTCTTTAAAAAAATCACCTAAAAATTACCCAAAATACATTATTCCACAAACCTCCTTATTTAGCCATACTGTCTCTCTCAAATACCATCCACCCCTAAACCCCCCCAAAGCTCCACATAAGAACCCCACCTTCTTCCTCCTAACCCGCATTTCTCCCCTCCCAACCCCTCTCTTCACCCACCTATCCCTAAAATCCCCTTGTTCTCAGCCTCCTTGTATTACAAGCCACTAGCAAATACAGGAATTTAGGAGTAAAATAGCAGCTAATGGAAGGAGGATAGAGGAAGAAGTGGGGCTGGAGGGCTGGGAAATAGGGGAATAGGGAGTAGGGGGTTTTGGGGTGGGGGTGAAGGTTGGTATTGTAGGGATGGTTAAGGAGTTGATGGGGTTGGGAGGATGATGGGTTGGTGTTAGTGGTGTCTTTTGTGTGGGAGAAAACGGCTTTGGATGTTATGTGATGAGTGGGGAGTACTTCTTTTCTTACTTAGACTTTGTGCGGTGCATCATATGATATGCAAGGGTGTTTCTTTCCTCGAAGAATAATTTATTAAGACCAAATAATCAGCCTTTACAAGGCTCTCAAAGATTTTAGACCATTCCTGAAATAAGAAGCTTCACTTAAAAATGAGCTGACCGATTCTCCTTATTCCTAGTTTTCTTTTTTCAATGCTGAGACACTTCCATAGGCTGTTTGGGTTTGGAATGAGTTTTGAATTGCGTTGTAGAGCTTATGGTTGTCCAGAGTGGTGCAGCTAAAGATTTTGGGCTTATTTGAGCAAGATAGGGAAATTTTTGAATTAGGATTTCATTAGAAAGGATTTTCTAGGTAAATTTCTGAATTTTAAGAGGTTTTAAGGAATAAAGAGTACAATATTAGTTCTAGTTTTGATTCATTGCACTTTTTAAAACTTCAAAAATTAAAATACTGAAATTCTCTGAATGTTCTATTTAAGTCTTCTTTTATTGAGGAGCTCACAGATTTTGCTTTATTTTACATCTCTAAATCAAATTTCGCATAAATACCATATTTATTAACTCCTATATAAGCTTAAAGATGCCGATAGCACAAAAGAAGAGATTGGCTTTGATCTATCTCAAGACACCATAAATCCCAAGCCTCAACCATCTAAGCTTAAAAAGGTACTTGTATCTTCAAAATAAATGAATGCTATGCTTATTTAAAAAAGTATTTTCATTTTTAAGATCTCAGGAGTTTGACATATGGCAATCTTAACGCCATTCTGAGAATAGAAATATTCTATTTTTCTTGGCATGGCGGCTATTTTAATTTTATCCTATTTATTCACAAAATGGTGATCCAGTGATAAAATATAATATAGTCAAAATTCGGTAATTTGGCAATGATTCGTGATCGCAAAAGAGCAAGTGTCGCTCCAGCAGATATTCTCAGTTACTGGTAAGATTCTTTGAAATATTTATGAATATTCCACTTTCTGTTAATGAAAGAGATGAAAGCTGGATTTTTTTAAAACTCAGCTCAAATATTTTACTATTATTTTAGTATAAATTTTCATTAAGCCTAAAAAATTTGCATAGATAATCTAGAAAACATTTATATTTCGAATAACTTTGTATAAAACCATGTAACCATAAACCCTTAGGAAACCCCCAACAATTGAGAATTCCAAGATGGAAAGCCCAAAGAGCTTATATGCCATTCAGGAAGACTCTTTCAGTCTTGCTTTGTCCGAAAAGAATCCTCAGTAAGTGTCCTAACTAAGCTGTGTTTGAATCTTAAAATTATGGAATGAAATTAGTTTAGAGATAATCAGTTAAAGAAATCAGATTCGGAAAAATAAGAAAATAGAGAAGGCCAATATGACTAAGGATGCTAGATTCCAAGACCTTATTCGTAAGATGAAGATGTACAATGAGAAGAACAGCACTGAAGATGACTTCCTCGATGCAGCATACCTTGATAAAGACCAAAGAGAGAGACTTATGCATATTAAGTGTCTTATCAGAAGTCATAGCAAGAATAAATTAAGATGGGATGTGGTCATCATGGTCCTTGCTATTTTTAACTGATTTGCAATCCCTGTTGATGTAGCTTTCCAGCCAGAATTTATGAATGCATGGTATATGATCATCATTAATACAATAATTGACCTGTTGTTCTTTATTGATTTGATAGTTTACTTCAGGACGACCTTCATTCATGAAAAGACAGGTAATGAAATTATCGAGCCGAAAAGTATTGCTTGATCATATCTTAAGGGACGATTCTGGGTAGACCTACTTGCTACTATTCCCTTTGATACTTTTGCAGGTCTGGTCCTTGGTACAAAAGGATCTTCATTTCTTAGTATTTTCTCTCTGTTGAAACTAGTTAGAGTTTTGCGACTTAATAGAATAATCTCTATTATGAAGGTAGCGAATGAAATAAAGCTCTCTCTAAAATTAGCAAAGCTTGTATTCTTTTTATCAATGTACCTTCATTGATTAGGCTGATTTTGGTACTTCCTTGCAACTCGGAATGATTTGTGGATTCCTCCTTTAGACTATGTGTTTGTCACTACTGAATTTTATAATCAAGGGCTATTCTTTAAGTACCTCTCTTCACTCTACCATGCTATTCTGATGCTTACTGGAAATGATATTGGGCCTAGGGATGAAGTACAACTAATGTTTTTATCTTTTGCTCTCGGAGCCGGAGCAATTATCAACGCCAATATTATTGGAGAACTTGCTGTTATACTTAATAAACTCAATAGGAAGGCATCTATTTTTCAAGCAAAACTTGATGTAGCAAATGATGCAATGAGACATCTTGGTTTACCAGAGAAATTACAGGTAGAAATAACAGGATTCCTGACATATTCAAAGTCATTACTTGAATCTCAAGAGGAGCTAGAGGAGTTCTTACATATGATTTCTCCATCTCAGAGGCAAAAAGTTTTGAAACATATGTTTACAAGTGCTCTCTATCAGAATCTTATTTTTGAGAAATCAACAGAAATGATAGATTTTGTCTCAGCAAGACTTGACACCCAAATTCTTCTTCCTGATTATACAGTAGTAACTCAAGGAGAAGAAGATAATTCCTTGTTTATTATCTCTAAAGGAGAAGTAAATGTCCAAGTGACTGATCACAGAGGGAAGACACATTCCATCCAGTCTCTTGAAAAAGGAGCTATTTTTGGAGAAGTAGCAATGTTATGTGGTTGCAAAAGGTCTGCTACTGTTAAAACAGTCCATTATTCTTCTATCGCTCAGCTGAAGAAAAACAACTACGACACAGTATGTATAGTGTATCCAAGCTTCCCATTGAAATTGAAGAATCAGTTACGGAAGTATGACGACCCCTTGAACCAATTCAAATAAAAAGACATTGAGGAATATATACTATATGGAAAATATCTCAGAGCAGTCTATTGAGGAGATCATGTTCCTACTCGAGCTTGAACATCATGATGCTGGCAAGACCCTCTTCAGGATCGGAGATCCAGTCGGGCACATCTATCTTGTTGCTAGTGGAGAAATTCAGATCTTCATCGAAATGGACGAGCGAGAGGTCCTGATAGACACTCTAAGGGAAGGATGTTGTCTTGGGTTTAACTCTGTCCTTAAAGACACAAATAATATCTTTATTGCCAAGTGCACAGGCAAAGCTAGTTTATATAAATTGTCTAAAGAGAAGCTTAAGAGCTTGTACAATACTTGTGAAGACCTGTATGAAGAAGTTAAAAATGCGAAGAAGACTTTTAAAGCTGAAGAAATTCCCTGTATCGATTTTTGATTACCAAAGCATGACTTTTTGGAGCAATCTAAAAGACCAATTAGAATCTTTAGAACAGTTGTACAGAGAATTATGAGGATAAACAAAAATTTAGGGAAATTTGCAGATGCTTTTGAAATCATAGAAGCTCTTAAAAAGGTAAATCAAGATAAGTAATCCCGCTAATATTTTTATCTCTATCTTTACTAAATTTTATTTATCATTATTTTGCACAGCTATTAAAATTACGTTTGTCTTCCTTACAGCTACAAATTATAACATATAGGCACGAAACGGATCAAAATTTGAATCAAATCCTAACGACTCTACCTATGAACAAAACAAGAGGACCATGGAAATATTCGAATCATACGATGCCAAGTTTGAAATGCTAAAAAAGGAGTTGTATAGCCAAAGAATGATCCTTAACAAAATAAGTTCTAAGCTGTTTCCAGAAACCGATAGCAATTGTTTCACAAGTAATCCTACTTTACACTAATCTTATTCTATAATTCCTGAAGAGAGTTTGTATTGGTTTAAGGCCAAAACTATTTTTAATTCAAAAATTGTGTTAAAGTTAATAAATTCAATTGATTTTCCTTCAAAGGGGTTTTGGGGTTTTGGGGTTTTGGGGTTTTGGGGTTTTGGGGTTTTGGGG